ATGTCATAATCAATTAAGTAATCATTTAATTATGTAATGTTATATTAATTAATGACATACTATAATAGTATAATGTAATGTTAAATGAATTAAGTAATCATACTACAAATCTATAATTTATATTATAATTAATTAAATTTCAAATCATTTAATTAATATACTAATGTTTATAATGGAATGTTATAATTGATTAAGTAATCATATTACAAATATATAAAGTAATGTTATAATTAATTAAATTTTAATCGTTTAATTAAGTAATGTAATAGTATAGTGATTACTAATGTTATAATGTATGTTATAAATTCATAACTAATTAAGAATTATGTAATCATTTAAATATATAATGTTATAATTAAGTAAGGGATCATATATAATGTAATATAATAATATTATAATTTAATTGAGTAAATATTTAACTATAATGTAATGCTAATTAATGGTTATAAGGTAATGTTATAATTTTAAATTTCTTATCATTTAATTAAGTATTGTGCTAATGTTTATGTAGTAAAAGTAATTACTAATGTTTAAAATATAATATCATAACTCATAATCAATTAAGTATATTTAATTATGTAATGTTATATTAATTATATGATCATACTATAAATGTATAATGATGTTATAAATGAAATAAGTAATCACTACAAATTATAATTTAATATATTAATTAATAAATTTCAAATCATTTAATTAATATACTAATGTTTATAATGGAATGTTATAATGATTAGTAATCATATTACAAATATAAAAGTAATGTATAATTAATTAAATTTTAATCGTTTAATTAAGTAATGTAATAGTATAGTAAATTACTAATGTTTATAATGTAAATTATAATTCATAACTAATTAAGTAATTATGTAATCATTTAACTATATAATATATAATTAAGTAAGTAATCATAATATAATGTAAATTATAATATTTAATTTAATTGAGTAATTATTTAACTATAATGTAAGCTTAATTAATGTTTATAAGATAATGTTATAAGATAATGTTATAATTATTAAATTTCTTACATTCAATTAAGTATTGTGCTAATGTTTATATAGTAAATTAGTAATTACTAATGTTTAAAATATAATATCATAACTCATAATCAATTAAGTAATTATTTAATATGTAATGTTATATTACTATATGATCATACTATAATAGTATAATGTAATGTTATAATGAATTAAATAATCATACTATAAACTATAATTTAATATTATAATAATTAAATTTCAAATCATTGATAATATACTAATGTTTATAATAGAATGTTATAATTGATTAAGTAATTATATATAAATATATAAGGTAATGTTATAATTAATTAAATTTTTAATCGTTTAATTAAGTAATGTAATAATATAGTAAATTAGTAAATTACTAATGTTATAATGTATGTTATAAATTCATAACTAATATGTAATTATGTAATCATTTAACTATGTAATGCTATAATTAAGTGAAGTGATCATAATATATAATGTAAATATATAATATTATAATTTAATTGAGTAATTATTTAATTTAATGTAATGTTTAATTAATATTTATAAGGTAATGTTATAATTAATTAAATTATCATTCAATTAAGTATTGTGCTAATGTTTATAGCAAATTAGTAATTACTAATGTTTAAAACATAATATCATAACTTATAATCAATTACGTAATTATTTAATTATATAATGTTAATCAATTATATAATCATACTATAATGTAATGTTATAGTGAATTACTATTACATAATCATACTATAAATTTTTAATTGAATATATAATAATTAAATTTTTAATCATTAATTAATTTGTACAATGTTTATATAAAGTCAATTAATTAAGTAGTAATCAATTAATGTATGCTATAATTAATTATACTATAAACAATTAAGTAATGTTATGAAATTATAATAATTAAGTAATCATTTAACTATAATGTAAGTTATAATGATAAGTATGATATTTAACTAGTAATTAAATTTATTAATGTTTATCAATTTATCATATATAATTAATTAATTACTAATTTATTATAGATATACTTAGAACTTGAAATTGAAGTAAATAACTAAATATATATTACTCAATCAAATATACTATTTTATTCAAAAAAAATTCTTTTAATAACATTAAATGTAAAACACTTTAATTGGATCATAATTCCAATATTCACTAATTGATCCAAACTTTAATATTAATGTATTATAATATATTAAAGCTTTTAATATGGTGTAATTTATATGTAATAAGTATAATGTATTCGTATATTTATTTAATAGGTTATTCTAAAAATTTAACTTTCTATTTTAAATTTTTTTATATGTAAAATAATAGAAACTCCCCATTATTTACATTTCACAAATATTCATTATAGTCCAGGTTCCAAAAAAGGTTCTAAACAGGTTCCAAAAACAGGTTCCCTATAGGTTCCAAAACAGGTTCCAAACAGGTTCCAAAACAGGTTCCAAACAGGTTCCAAACAGGTTCCAAAACAGGTTCCAAACAGGTTCCAAACAGGTTCCAAACAGGGTACCCCCTACAGGTTCCAAACAGGGTACCCCCTACAGATTCCAAACAGGATACCCTTTACAGGTTCTGGTTCCGGTTCCGGTTCCTCCGGGGGTAGAAAACGGAACCGGAACCGCACAGTAGCGGTTCAAAAATTGGAACCAGAACCTACCGCACAGTGCAGGTTCTGGGTAGATTCCGGTTCGGTTCCGGTCTTACCCCCGGTTCCGGTTCTACCCCTACCTGCTCACCTAAATATATAATATAATATATGTATTCTCCTAAAATCAGACATTAGAACTTGGTTGAAAAGAAAATGAAAAGTCAGAAATATCTTTTTCATTTTTTACTCGTACAACTTAACCGTACTTGCAAAAAAGAAATAATAAAAAAAGAAAAAGATGATTTTATTTTCAAAAGGCCCACCGACAAATTGATGACAAGATATTTTGCTAGTTGACACGGCACTCTTTCTTGATGTCGAAGTATAGATACCAAGTGCTTTTGAAATGACCAGTGGACACACCACACACAATTTCAGAACCCTTCGAAGCTAAGGCGGTGTTTGTATTTAGGAGTTTCTAAAAGCGCTTTTGAGTTAGTTCCAATGGTTTCATTTAGTTTTGTAAATTATTTAGGAGGATTTTATTCGTATTCTTTCATATTTAAAAATGCTTATTATGTAGAATTTAATTTTTTTCGTAAAAGTCAACGAAATTTATTATTGTAATATAATTTGAAAAGTTGTTAATTTTTTCAAGCACACATATATCTAGATCTAGATACATTATTTAAAATAGATTAAATTTAAGAAACTAGTATCATCTTATTTTATAAACAAGGTTGTATTTTGGAAAATACAATTTTTTTCAAGCAAGTAGCTACGAAGAGTTATTAATCTTTTATTCATTTTACTAAGTTTTAGAAAAATCTTTAGTGTGATGCAAGGAACAACTTCATGTATGAAACTCGAAATACCTTATAAATGGGATGACCACATAAAGAGGATTCAAAATAAACCTTCAATAAGACAAACATATATAAATTATTTCAAAAACTACCACATTAGGTCATAATAACACAATCAAAAATATCAATTTATTAATTATTTATTTATTTATTTCATTTTGATAATATCAAAATTTCCCCACCAAACCTGAGTTTAAAGTGGGTTAATCTTTAAAAAGCAAGAAATAATGAATGTAGGTACGGGGTACCCATGGGTAAGCTCGAATCCCATATCTTGTGAAAGCAAACGCTCGGCTAACCCCTCGCGGGTCAATACAATAATACTTATCCACCATCCTTTTTCGATAATTAAGCAATGAAAATGATTCCAATTCAATAAAATTTGAACCACTCTGGAAAAGGTGACGACCCTTAGCCGACGTTAAGAGGGGATGACCCTTGGCCAACCTCAAAGTCCTCTAATTCGGTAAACGTTAAAAGGGGAAAATAACCTCAAATTTTAGTTGCCTAAAACAATTAGATACCGATACACACAGATACAATCCATATGATTTAAACGATGATAGCTGGCAAATTAAGACCAAGAGTTAAATCAATTGGAAAGGTGATTTTATTCTATATAATTTAATGGTTCCGTCAAAAATGCGATTGAATTGTTCAAGTTTTCATTGGAGATTATTTCCAGGTCATGCTGCCAACCACTACAGGAATCTGGTTCAAATTCCTGACTAAATTTGCAAATCTCAGAAATTCAAGTGTTCAACATCTGCATCAAAATTTCACGGAAATAATTTCTAATAATCTCCATAAAAACTTTGGCCTCGACTCGATACAAATACAGATTTCCATCAGACTGTTTCTAACTACTCTTATGCATGCCCAATGGAGATTTAAGAATAGCAATAGATATTGTCGAAAAGATTTTATCAGCTTATTCAAAAGAGCTCGGAGTGTTCCCAAATTATAAGCAATAAATTATAGTTCACCTACCATCTCATTTAAAATATAAACCTAACCTTTCAACTCAATCACAGAAAGTCTTGAGACATCCTATTCTACCTATATTCACAATCTGGACTGATTCCAAATTGTATGCATAGTCCAACCTAGATTATACCCGTACACTTGACATTAATTAAATCAAATAATTGGCATTAAAATGATTATGTCACCCAACACATCACCATACTTTCAATGAATTAGGTTTACAGAAACTTCCTAGCAAATTCAGGCAACTTTCCATATGCCTATATCTCAAAGTGTAAGAACATTCTCAAGGAAAACAGTAGATACAGCAAACAATTGAATTAATCAACCAAACAACTCGAATTTATTCGAAAAGAAAATAACTCAAAAGAGTAACAACTGTAAATCAAGTCTATTCGATTCAAACAGGAAACGAAAAGCCAATAGAACAAAACCAATAATCGCAGACAAAACGATTCAACTTCCAAAATATAACAGGGGAAAAGACTCATCATTACAAATTGATGATGATGAATCTTCCAGTAAATTTAGTGAACATTACTTAATGGGAAGAGATCTTAAGATTGAGGGACTTGTTCAGCCATGTCTTCCACCCGCCGCTTCCCCGTCGAGTAATGGCAGTATCCAATCTTCCAGCATCTTCAATCTTCTCAGTCTGTGGCTTCTTGCACAACATAAAATTTCGCACTCCATGCGATCCAATTGTATCCCACGGACTCAGAGCTACAATCCAATTCAACCAAATTAAAATCAATATCAACTTCAATTTCAATTTCACAAATTCATACAAAAAATCCAGGTTTTAAATTCCAACAAACTAGCAAAAGAAGATATAAACTTCCCAAACTTTTTACAAACGAAAAAAAACCAAACTTTTTACACAATCAAAAAACCAAACTTTTTACACAATCAAAAAACCAAACTTTTTACACAATCAAAAAACCAAAATACATTAAAATCATTTACAAAACCATAAAACAAACCTGAAATCAAATTGAGAAAGTTTTGACAATTATTGAAATAACAAAATCACGAAAAAGTAAAGTTTCACAAAATTGTCGAACAACAAAAGAAAAATCGTGAACTTTTAAACCAATTTAAGAGATGGGTATTGAAAAAACTCACCACCAGTGCCAGCATTGGAGCAATAAAGCAAGAAACCATTAAGATCAGACCCAAGAATCGGTAATCTTCCTTCACGAGCATAAGATTTCAAAGCGGTATCAATAACAGCAGCAACAAGCTCTTCTTCATTCACCACAAACCGGATCGGGCCGGCGCTGCCCAGCACCGTAATGCTAATCAAGAATCTGTTGCCCTTTGGGGCCGGGTTCTTCTTCTGCTTGTACAACAACATTGTCGGTTGCAAAATAAACAAAATCTAACACAAAATCTTGAAAGAATGTTAATGGAATTTGAGCTTATGGGTCTTTTTTTAATTATTCTTCTTGTTGGTTTAGTTTTCGAGATAACAATCTACACTTTTTAATCAAAACACAAAAAACCTAAGGGTCGACGCCGAGGCAGCGGTAGTACCAGCCTTCTTTGCAAGATCCAAAAGCAAAAGCAAGAGATGAGCTCGCCCTTGATTCACAAAGGGAGAGCATCAAATTACTACTCTTCAATATTGTTTCTACCATTCACAAAAAATTTCTAAACCAAACAAAGATTGACGCTGAAAAAAATTAAAAATCCCCGTCTCGCCCTTCTCGAAAGAACGACTTTTGGAGAAGCTTTCGAAAATCTGAAATATGGCTTTTGATTGTTGAGAGAATTGAGAAGTGGGTTTCAATTGTTGAGAAATTATTTGCTCTAGGGGGTCTTTATATAATAAACGAGTGGTCGGGGTAAATTAGGGTTAGGGTTTGTTTTCCAGTTGGTTTCGGTTTGACCTCGTTGTGTGCTTGGCAGTGCTGCGTTGTGTTTCCGTGTTATGATGTAAAAGGCTTAGCAAAATACGGCGACGTATCAATCTCTAAGGCTAAGGCTAAGGCTAAGAGCAAGAGCCCAAAAGGAAAGAGTTAATAGCATTTATCTCCTTGAGATACAATATAACACCAAAAATCTCCTTATGGGAAGGAATTTTGTTATTTCGAAAACCTCTAATAGATTTTTGTTATTATACCATATCTCAAAGAAGGTTTAATATTAACTCAACTGGAAAATAAATACCAAACTAACCTACATCCCAAATATTTCTCTTTTTTAACAACTATTTGTTTTGGTCAAAATTATTTTGTGAAATTCAAATAGAACTTTTATACCAAATATTCTTGAATTTGTTGNCCTAAAAGGAAAGAGTTAATAGCATTTATCTCCTTGAGATACAATATAACACCAAAAATCTCCTTATGGGAAGGAATTTTGTTATTTCGAAAACCTCTAATAGATTTTTGTTATTATACCATATCTCAAAGAAGGTTTAATATTAACTCAACTGGAAAATAAATACCAAACTAACCTACATCCCAAATATTTCTCTTTTTTAACAACTATTTGTTTTGGTCAAAATTATTTTGTGAAATTCAAATAGAACTTTTATACCAAATATTCTTGAATTTGTTGGGTTTTTTTTGGTTTTGCCTTTTTGAGAACTAGTGTCTCAAAATCTTCAAGCAAAATAGAGTTTCTAATTATAAAAAATTTCCTCTTTTTTTAAATTGTCTTTTTCTTTTGGGATTAATATAGCTATGCCGTAGAATAGCAATCAAATTTTAATCCATCCCTCATGCATTAATTCGATATTATTTATTTTAGTCATTGCGTAATCTTTGATATATATTTGTAGTATTAGTGCGACATATTAATAAAAACTTATTTTAATGGTTAGTATGTAGACGTAAATAATATTATTAAGATTTGACGGTGTAGATCACATGTGATAAATTGAATATTTGAACTATATTTTGCTATTTTTTTTTACAAAAAAATATATAAAACTTTGTAAAGAATTTGTGGTTATATTAAAGAGGGTCTCAATCGTTTACTATATTTTTTTTTTCCACGTCAGATTTGTTGATGATCATCTCAATTTTAAAGCAAATTACTTGCCTAAATAAACGGAAATGCAACCTTGGAGGGCAAGACCAGAATATTTAGTAACTACTAACTACTATTAGTTTTGTTGATTTAAATTAAACTAGAATACTCAAAACTCAAAAGTAGAATTCTTTAAAATTATCATTTCATTATACTATTTTTAGTATTTATTTTAATATACTTGAAGTTGTATAAATTTATTTTATTAATTCTGTTGTAAATAGTGAACAAGATAAAAATTCGGAGACATTTGAGAGAACTATCTATTAAAAATTTAGAAATATTCCTCATCAACTAACTAAATTTATATTTAAAAAAATTTCAAATTTAATTAAAGATTTTAACTAAATTTTGTGAATCAAAATTCAGCCACCTTCTTTGTTGACTGCTGTTTGACTATTTTAGACATGTGGTATTTTATATTTAGAACGTGTGTTGATGCGTGTTTCTCTTGATACTTTCATGCTTTATCACCGCAGATATATTAATACTAATAATTTATTAAAATTTAAAAATCACAAAATTTCATCCAACAAAAAAAGAAAATAATAATAATAACGTATGTATTTAAAACGTGTGAGCCAAAACATCTATTTTTTAAATACTAATTTTGAAAATTTATCTTTTACTTTTTAAATATTTTCAAATTATTTAAAGGTAAATAAATATATCAGCAGTTAATTGAATATAAAATATAATAAAAAAAATCTAAAATTTGGTAGAAATTTGATTCAAAACAATGTCTATAATTTAATAAAATGGGTTGTGTAGAGTATAAATTTGTGACCTATATATATATAATAAAGAATCATTGAATATATAAAAATTCTTTATTAAAGACAAAATATATAATCTCAACTCAAATAGTTTAGCAAAATCCAAAGAGCACTTGTGGGTAGACTTGATTGATCACATGTGTGTCAATTGGACTGAAACAAAATCTCAATCTCTCAATTATTTCATTCAAATCAACCTGAATTTAAATAATTTATAGTACACAAGAAGATTATATAATTAGGAGGATATTCCCAGTGATTACAGTTTACAGCCACGAGCCAACCCCATTATAATAGTATTAGTATTAGATGCTCATTACATTTTATATAATAAGAAGGAAGAATTTGATTCTTTAATAATTTCTGTATGAAATGCATCAAGTCCGTTAAATTTCTTCTCGCCAGCTTGTTCAGATTCGTCTTCAGCTTCAGGAATCTCTAATATAAAAGCTCAAACCCCTTTTGTCATTTCTAGAAGCCATGCATTTTGAAGAAAAAAATCATCTGGAAGACGCATAATAATTGCTGTAAATTAATAAATCAGGGTGTTCCATGCGGTTGCTTAATTTTGGAATATTCAGTTTTTTCTGAAATTCATATCTACACAACACATAGGATGCAAATGTTTTAACGTCATGGTATGTATGATTTTTTTAGCGGTTGTATATATCCGAGATTTATCATGAAATCTTATATTTTATTTCTCTTGTTATTGAAGACAATTTGATGATAACCTACAATGTACATTATATTTTTAAAAGGAAGATAAACGAAGGAAAAAAAAAAAAAAAATACTTGCATGATAAATTAAACTTGATTTAATATATCAGAATGGAAACAAATTTGATTTGATTCTATTTTTTTTTAGTGATCGAGAGTGTCCAGACGGTCTTAAAATTAACGATCGAATATACCCTTTAGTGATCATCCCTATTAACATTCGAGGTGATTCAGACTCAAGAATTTCTTAAGTTATACATCTAAGAGTCATTGTCTAACCACTCAATCATAATTGAGTGGTGATTAAGAAACCATAATCATCTTATCCAATTTCTATATGCGGTCATACAGTAACCACATCACCAATGTTACGAAGCACCGCACAAAAGTTTTCAGTTACTACTTGTTTGTGAAGCATTTATATCAATAAATGTATGCCTGGATACATGGCTTGAAATGCAACAGTGGGCAGATATACATGTTTTAAGTGCAGTGGCGATGTATTTAATGTAATATATAAAAGAAGGATGTTTCGGCAACTTTTCTTTGTTCCCACGTTAGCTGTGTTAGTCATGAATTGTCTATTTGGTTAGATACGAATACGATTGATTCGTTATAAATGGTCAAATAAAGGGGCGGCAATTTCAGAAATAGGGTTGGCTGGCTGTATGTTAATTTCCAACAAATATTGATACTTATATTCGTTAGAATATGCTCTAAATTTGTGTTTTATTTAATTGGGAAAATGATCAATCAAAAGCTCCTTCAATTGCTTTACTTTTATAATTAATAACGTAATAAAAAGCTCAGCTTTAACTGTTTGGATACTTTGAGAAATTCCTTCTTCTTTGTGTATGTTTCCAATTTACTTTACTTTATATTCGTTTGGTACATAGTTACACTGAATAAGCAAAAACAACTACCCAATATTGATTTTACTTGTAAATTTATAAAATAAATGTATTATGTCATCGATACATCCATTTAGAAATATGTTGATTCAGAAATACTCTCTATTTGTTAAGATTCCTTTTGTTTGTTACGTTAACTTAATCTCCCTTTTTCTAATAATCAAGTTAGCTTGAAATGTCACACAGGATAAGGAAAAGAGCCTAACCAGTATTAATTGCTGTTATAAATTGACAGAACAGAGTAGGGGCCAAGCCAGAAAACTTATTCTGGGGAGCCAAAAGGTAATGTTTAATGGATGAAGGTTACATTTTAAAAGGTCAAAGTCAAGTTAAAAAATTGAGGGGGTCAAAGCAGTAAAAACTGAACTAAATTGATAATTTTCTATTATAAAATTTAGAAATTTTTTGAAACTGGGCATCCTAGACTTGAATATAGCTCTGGCCTTGTAAAAGTATTATATTATCGATATTGTGGAATATTTAGTCAAACACATAACCAATAGGTTCAACTAAAATACAATAAAGAAGAAATAGAAAAAAGAAAAAAGAAAAAGAAATAGAAGACACAAGATTTGAGAATATCTCATTAGGAATGAGATTCTTAATCTGATAATCGATACATCCATTCACATATATGTTTATTCAGAAATACTCTTCTTTGTAAACTAGCGGTGTAAATGTACGGAGATTATAGATCAAATGTAGAATGTTGGAAAAACTTGAAAGGATCTAGAGCTACCCCACAAAATATTCTCAATCATCTTTGAGTCAGTGTCCACAAAATAGAGTAGATTCTTTACAATCCTCTGATAGGACATCATTTGGGAAATTTCTGGCAATTAACTTAACTGCCCTGATTGGGGATGAGGATTTACCTGAGGTGGTTGGTTTTCTTTCACCAGGAAGTTGCAGATTGTGCAAGAAAATGACTAAAAGAGTTGCCATTATTTGACCTCTGATAGGACATCATTTGGGAAATTTCTGGCAATTAACTTAACTGCCCTGATTGGGGATGAGGATTTACCTGAGGTGGTTGGTTTTCTTTCACCAGGAAGTTGCAGATTGTGCAAGAAAATGACTAAAAGAGTTGCCATTATTTGACCACTATGAAATTCAATTGAGATCTCTCTCCACATGCATCAAGATTTGCAATTTGCAAAGCACTGACTGCAAATGTGTAAGAATGAAGATGAAATCACTAGTTAAGTCACTCACTTTTTGATGATTACGTTCATGGAAAGATTGGGAAAAGGACAAGATTGATTGGCTCCCTTTTTGCTTATTGTTGGATGAATATGATAATATTATTTTCTGTCTCCGCAAGGATTTTGTATTTGAATTGATTGGAGATGCACTAGTTATGTTATTAATTAAATATAATGCTCATTTGAGTTTGAATGAGATGAAGATTAAGTGGGGCATTATTTCTTTGAGTATTGTTATTGGCGTCCCACTAAAACTCTTTCTACATTGAAAATTATAAATTCATTTATGTTCCATATATATCCTTGTTTTCTTCCTGTAATTAATCTAACTTTTATACAGTGCGAACTTCTAAGTAATAATGGATGCGATTATAAACAAATCTAATCTAAACCATAATAAAACATAGAGTAATGTTGGGTTCAAAACTCAATTTCACAACTTTCAACGTGACAGGTCGCAAATGGGTCTTGCTTGCTTACTATAGGTTCTGTCTACTCAATTGCGAACTGACTAATTACAAACTGACATGTTCGAGGTTGTGAGATTAGATTTTGGATTTAACATTATTATAAAACATATACACAAAGCAAGTTGTTGGCCTAAATCAATTGTCTATAACTCATGTAATGAGAGCGACTTCGGTCAATATTGGGTTAAAATCGAGTTAACGAGGATGTTGCATTGTTTGTTTCTAATCTCCGAGATTTGATAATACAAAGGTCAACATTTAGAAAGTTAATAAAAATGAATTTGTACATTCTTTAGTAATTTTTATGCAGGATAATATTGTAATGAAGTGAAAAAAGGAAATTGGGGTCTATTAAGATAAATCGTGGGGGCCAATAGGCAGCATTCTTTTCTTTTATTTAATTAAGGATTTAAAAAGAGTTTTAGTGGGCTTAAATAACACCACTCTAATTCTTTTTCATTTGTTACGAGAAGAATTTATTGATGGTTACATTGGCTATGTTACTTTAAAGCATTGATTAACATTTTGGGCGTTTGATTCAGAATGTTAGATTACTGGGAAGATAGATTACCTTAGAGATTACTGGAATCTTTAAACAAATGTGTTTGTTAGTTGGTGAGTATGTTATATGAATATGTTTGGTTTGGGGAATTAAGTATGGGTATGTTTAAATTACTAAATTGTCATCCTTTTAAATATTAATATAAGATTATTTTTATTATTAATTTTTGAATAATTTCTTTTAACCCCCAATATTTCAGATTTAGCTAAAACACCCCCGCTTATATAAAACTTTAATTGATGAAATCACCCCCACCTCCTGCCGCCACTGCAAACCAACGCCGGAAATCTCCGAAAGCTCCCGTGAGTACCTCCACTGTGACGAAGAGGCTCCGATATGGTCGTTTCTGCATATTGATGGCCGAAAACGGCTATATCAGGCTAGATTTGGCCGTTAACGGCCAGTTCCATCGATCTGGCCGGAAATGGCCAGAATAGATCTGGCCTGATATGGCCGTTTTTGGCCATCAATATAGCCGAAAACACCAATCGAAGCCTCCGAAGCCTCCCACGAATTTCGTTCCTTTTCAGGGACTCCGACGATTTTTCGACGGCGGTCCGTGGTAGTTGGCCGCTGCCGCGGTCGGTGGTGGCTGGGTGGCAGTGGCGGTGGTGGCTGGGTGAGTGGTGGTCTGTAAATTATTTTAAATATAAGGGTATTATTGCCAAAATTTTAATTAACAAGGGTAAAATTAAAATAGAATATTAATGTAAATTTGTTTTAAAGTAGGGGTATTATTGTCCAAAATTTTTATTAATAAGGGATAAAATTGTAACAAAAAAAGATAACCCTGGTAACTCAGAATACCTAAGAATGGAGGTAATCAGATTACCTCTGATATTACCAATAGTAACCACTATTGGTATTTAAAGATTACCGGTATCTTATATTACTTGACAACCAAACATGGTAATCAAGTAATATAAGATGACATGACCCTAGTAATCCCACTTAACCCCCAATCAAACACCCCCTTTGGGTTTAGTATAGAGATTGAAAATTGTTTCCACTCAGTCAATTAGTATTAGGTTAGGCGTTGGGTATATGATGTTATATTTTTATATATTTGTGTCAACGTTACTAGTAAAACTTCTTTATCGTTCATAGATATAGGTGAATTATGCTGAATCATGTTAAATATTATTTCTCTTTGTGTGATGTGATTTATATCTATTCATATGTATTAATATTGATATCCATTATTATTTCCACACATGATCCCTTGACAATTATCTCACAAGTTTCAATGCATGACTATAAATTTTCACTGAACTCTACCACAACCTTAAGTTTTGGGGTTAGATTCTCTAACTTGACTTTGAAGGAAAGTCTTTGTGATTGTAATTGGATTTCAAATTATATTAACTGGATGTTAAAGTGTGCTTATGCACTTTAATTTTTCTTTAATTGGAAAAGTTGAGTTGTCATATATATTATATAAGCCTAATGGGGTGCTCATGATACATGCTGAATTTTTATAATTTATCTGGACTGAATTGGATTTCTATTCTTATCAGATTTTCATCCCAAATTTTCAGGAGTTTTGGAACCAAACAGGGTTGAATTTGGTTAATGATATAATCCTTTGGTACCAAATCGTCGAACACTCTTAATGTCAACAAGAAGTTCACCTTATCCGAAAATTAATCTTTTTATGTTAATAGAGTTTTAGTATAGCAAACCTCGACAATCTATACTTTTTTATGGACAAAATGAAGTTAATTAGTTGGCAAAATCCTGAAGCTAAAAAGCACCATTAGTTCAAAATCTGTGTTTCAATGTTGCTAAAAATAAACAATAGGTTCAGCTGCAAATCCGTTGGATCACAAAGACAATAGTTAATACTGTTTTTCTATCTTTTTAACAGTTTTTATCTTAATAAATTATCAGATTTATGATATATTTGAAGCAAATTAAATCAGGAACAATTTGCATTTAGAAAAAAAAAAAAGCTTCCTCAGGTTCAAACTTTCGTATGCTTTATCAAGTTTTCTATGATTGAGAATCAATATTGTATGTGCAACTTATATGTGTCTGCATTTGTTAATGTTGCAGTGGCAATTTTTCCGAGCTTTTATCGAAGTTAAAAGATTCTTTGGTTATTGAATTATCTGCAGCTGAAAAATGTCTCGTTCAATTGAGAGTATGTTAGGCCTTCTCAAAATTCGTGTGAAGAGAGGCATTAATCTTGTAGTGAGCGATACGTTTAGCAGCGATCCTTATGTTGTAATTACCCAGGGAAAACAGGCATGATTTTTTTTTTTTTTCATCTTTACATTCAGAATCAATGTACAGTTTGCAAAAATCACCTGCTTGAGGATATTCACTATGATCCTTTTTCTACATGAATGTTGTTGCAGAAATTGAAGACCAAAGTGGTGAACAATAACTGCAATCCTGTATGGAATGAGGACTTGACTCTTCCAATTAGAGATACTAACATTCCAGTTCATTTGGTAAGCAAAACATTAATTTTTCTGAAATGGAGCATGAATATTATTTTCTTCTATCTTTTATGTGTCAAAATTTATTTGCAGACCGTGTTTGACAAAGACACATTTACTGGGGATGACAAAATGGGAGAAGCAATTATAGATATTAGGCCATATATGGAGAGCATAAAAATGGGGTTGGAAAATCTTCCCAATGGCTGTGCAATAAAGAAGCTACAGCCTACCAGGGAGAACTGCCTCCTCGACGAGAGCGGCATCATCTGGAACAACGGAAAAATAACTCAAGACATGGCCCTCAAATTGCGAAATGTGGAGAGTGGTGTTGTGGAGATCCGCCTCGAGTGGGTTGATGTTTTAAGGGTTTGAGATGGCTCAAAACTTGATCAAAATGAATGTGTTTGTTGTATGTTCATGAGCCTTTTGCTTGAAATAGCTTATTGTATTTGCTCCATATACTATCCTAAACAAATGTGGATCTGAGATGACATAATTTATATAGTCTTAATATGTTCCTTTTGAGTGATAAAACTCTTATCAATTGGCCAGTTTTGTTGTAAGGAGAACTATTAATTCTGTATCTTTATATTATCTTATAGATCTTTATGTATATGCAAGTTATGAATCGAAGAAAAATGGATCCATAGTTAAGACTGGTGACTGAACAAATGATTTTATTGATGCTGCTACTTATCATTTCTTCTATGTATCTTGAGAAAAACACTTTCTTATATCAGTTGTACATACAAACCACCAATTATGAGGCATTCCATTCATACTTGAGATATATACATGTTTCTCATAATTGATTAATTGTATGTACATCTATTGCTTGAAATACTTTTACGAGATGTCACGTTAATGTGTGTGATATATACATGTTTTATGATTAGTTGATTGTATGTATATTTGTCACCTGAAAGACTTTTATGAAACATTACGTCAATACGTGTAATATATACATGTTTCATGATTGATTGGTTGTATGTACATCTATCAAATGAAAGATTCACTCCATATATCATGACGTGATGTACACATACTTTTTACTCTTTGATTTTCCAACTTCAAGATCTTGGTTTAAGAGTTTCGCAAGATAATCAATAATTTCTTGTAATTAATTTTTACTGAATTCTTATAATTTCTAGGATTTTCTTTGAACATCTTTCTTGCACTTGGGTTAATTGACATGGTGCAAATCTTTCTCATCCTTCTCTTGGGTATAGGCAAGTTCTGTAAAACTAATCCGGAAACTGATTCTCAGTGATGTAATTTGTTGCAAGGTAAGTAATCTGAAGCTGCAATGCCATGTTTAAGGCAAAATATTAAAAGAAACAAAATGGTTAAAGGTATGACCTTTCACATCAAAATTGTTTATGATATCTGATACATTTTGTATAAACAGAGGCTGAAAAACTTGAAGGCCACTCAATTTTCTTCTCAGTAATTATCGTCTTCAAGAAAACTACGTATGTTACAGGAAGTCATAACAGTCAATTCAATTTTTTTTTTCCAGGATTTCAGAATATCTGCTCTTTGATACCTCTCATTTAGATAATTTTAGTCATGCACGTTTTTTTACACAGAATACAGAAGCCTCCAAGAATATACCTTCGTTCTCTTTCACGTAAGGATTGAAGAAATATCAATTGCAAATCATGAGACAAAAACAAAAACATTGATCTAATGCAAGGCTTGAATAAAAACAAGAAAAAAATCTGAGTGTTTGGAAGTTTATTTACAGATATTTCCTTCTCCTGGATAGGTGTTTTATTGTAAGGTTATGGTTTATTTGGCTAATCTTATCTTCTCCAACTTGCCAATTTCAAAAATTCCCCCTTCAAATACTTCAAAGCAAGCCAATTAAGAGCTCCAACTTGAACAAAATCAATGGCTTCCACCGCAACTTCCAAGATATGCTTGCAAAACAATGCTCCAAGAACAAGCTTCTCTTCATCACCAGGGAAAAATCCATTTCAAACTAACCTTAAATTTCCATTTCTATCCTCTCCGAGTAAAAAAGTACGCGTAAAATCTTCTACTGCGACTAAGTACAATGAAGTTGTGGATGAAGAAATGGACAGAATTAGAAGGCTCCAAAACGGGTCTGATGTTCGCGGGGTTGCTTTGGAAGGCGAAAAGGGCAGAACAGTTGACCTTACGCCATCGGCCGTGGAGGCCATTGCTGAGAGTTTCGGCGAGTGGGTCAAAAGTAAATTGGAGGAGGAACGAGGAGGGCCTGTTGAGGATGTTAAAGTGTCACTTGGTAAAGACCCTCGAATTTCAGGTGCTTCTTTGAGTGTAGCAGTTTTTGCTGGCCTTTCTCGAGCTGGTTGCTTCGTTTTTGACATGGGACTTGCCACTACTCCTGCTTGTTTCATGAGTACATTGTTGCCTCCGTTCGCTTATGACGCTTCGATAATGGTAGATTTATGTATATCATATCATGTTATTTGTATTTTCGTTTTAACTGAAACTTTCTCGATATTGATATTTGGTGTTGTTTTTCAGATGACTGCTTCTCACTTGCCATACACTCGCAATGGTTTAAAGTTTTTCACTAAGAGAGGGGGGCTTACCTCGCCGGAAGTGGAGGAAATTTGTGACAAAGCTGCCCGGAAATATGCCAATAGGTTTGCTAAAGTGTCCACTTTGCTGACAACTCCTCCAACGAGAGTTGATTTCATAAGCGCTTATGCAAAGCACCTCAGAGACATCATCAAACAAAGAGTTAACCATCCTTTGCACTATGACACTCCACTCAAAGGCTTTCAGGTTTGTTTTTTAATTTCTTTGTCATCTAGGGTCTGTTTGGTAGAGCTTCTTCTTCGAGTAGAGCTTATTGGTGAGGAAAAATGTAAAATTCATTTTTAATATAAATTTACCAGGAAGAATTTTAATATACAGAATATATCAAGTCAAATTTATTAATAAAAAGAGCCTATGGGAAAATATTTAACTTATTAAAATCTTATAAGAATTTTTGAACCTAATTTTTTTTATAAAATGCTTATAGTTTTAAAAATGTTTTTTTAACCGGTAGGTAAGTCCGACCAAACATGTTCTGCATGTCATTCCTGTTAATTGTAAAATTCTGATTCTGTTGCACCTGAAATGCCAGATAATTGTGAATGCTGGAAATGGATCAGGAGGGTTCTTTACTTGGGATGTTTTAGACAAGCTTGGTGCAGACACTTTTGGCTCTCTGCATCTCAATCCAGATGGGATGTTTCCAAATCACATTCCCAATCCTGAGGACAAAACTGCAATGGCTCTAACCAGTGCTGCTGTGCTAGAATACAAGGCTGATCTTGGGATTGTTTTTGACACCGATGTTGACCGCAGTGGCTTGGTTGATAGCCAAGGAAATCCAATCAACGGTGACAGGCTCATTGCACTAATGTCTGCAATTGTGTTGAAGGAACATCCTGGTACTACCATTGTCACTGATGCCAGAACAAGCATGGCGCTCACAAAATTTATTAATGAAAGAGGGGGAAACCATTGCTTGTATCGCGTTGGTTATCGAAATGTTATTGATAAGGGTGTTCATCTTAATGATGATGGCATCGAAACTCATCTGATGATGGAAACATCTGGACATGGGGCTCTTAAAGAGAACCATTTCCTGGATGATGGTTAGTCGTTCGCAGTCTTCTTTCATTTCTCCTTCTGTTTTCCATCTTTTCCATGGACGTCTGTATTTTAGCAGGTTGAATGTAGATTTCTGAGTTACAACGGATCCTGATACCATTTCTGTTCGTTTTCTACAGGGGCTTACATGGTTGTAAAAATTATTATAGAGATGGTATGCATGAAACTTGCAGGTTCAGATGAAGGGATTGGTAGTCTAATAAAAGATCTTGAAGAGCCACTAGAAACGGTTGAACTAAGGATGAACATTATCTCTGAGCCTAGACATGCAAAGGCGAAAGGTTCTGAAGCCATTGAAACATTCCGAAACTACATTGAGGTAGTGTTAGTAATCTAATTTGCAGATAACAATTCAAATTCAGCTGCTGAAAACACGTTGCTTTTATGTAATTAATTAAATATTAACTCAATTTACTAGCAGGAAGGGCGGCTCCATGGATGGGAATTAGATTCGTGCGGAGAGTGCTGGGTGAGTGAAGGTTGCCTTGTCGACTCAAATGACTCTCCGGCTGCCATTGATGCTCACATGTACAGGTACGAAGAAATTTTCANGGATCAGGAGGGTTCTTTACTTGGGATGTTTTAGACAAGCTTGGTGCAGACACTTTTGGCTCTCTGCATCTCAATCCAGATGGGATGTTTCCAAATCACATTCCCAATCCTGAGGACAAAACTGCAATGGCTCTAACCAGAGCTGCTGTGCTAGAAAACAAGGCTGACCTTGGGATTGTTTTTGACACCGATGTTGACCGCAGTGGCGTGGTTGATAGCCAAGGAAATCCGATCAACGGTGACAGGCTCATTGCACTAATGTCTGCAATTGTGTTGAAGGAACATCCTGGCACTACCATTGTCACTGATGCCAGGACAAGCATGGCGCTCACAAAATTTATTAACGAAAGAGGGGGAAACCATTGCTTGTATCGCGTTGGTTATCGAAATGTTATTGATAAGGGTGTTCATCTTAATGATGATGGCATCGAAACTTATCTGATGATGGAAACATCTGGACATGGGGCTCTTAAAGAGAACCATTTCCTGGATGATGGTTAGTCGTTCGCAGTCTTCTTTCATTTCTCCTTCTGTTTTCCATCTTTTCCATGGACGTCTGTATTTTAGCAGGTTGAATGTAGATTTCTGAGTCACAACGGATCCTGATACCATTTCTGTTCGTTTTCTACAGGGGCTTACATGGTTGTAAAAATTATTATAGAGATGGTATGCATGAAACTTGCAGGTTCAGATGAAGGGATTGGTAGTCTAATAAAAGATCTTGAAGAGCCACTAGAAACGGTTGAACTAAGGATGAACATTATCTCTGAGCCTAGACATGCAAAGGCGAAAGGTTCTGAAGCCATTGAAACATTCCGAAACTACATTGAGGTAGTGTTAGTAATCTAATTTGCAGATAACAATTCAAATTCAGCTGCTGAAAACACTTTGCTTTTATGTAATTAGTTAAATATTAACTCAATTTACTAACAGGAAGGGCGGCTTCATGGATGGGAACTAGATTCATGCGGAGAGTGCTGGGTGTGTGAAGGTTGCCTTGTCGACTCAAATGACTCTCCGGCTGCCATTGATGCTCACATGTACAGGTACGAAGAAATTTTCAACCTGAACAAGTTTCCCGGCATTATATAATATAGACGTCTACTGCAAGTCAATATAGACTTGCTATAGTTAGACATCTCCAACCCAACACCATTTTCGTGTAAAATACTAAAATGGTGTAAAAAATTTACTCTGACCCAACACTAAAAACTACACCAAATTAATATAAGTGAATAGTACACACCAAATTTGGCGTGACATTATTCATTCACACTAATTTGGTGTGATATTATTCATCTACTATAAAATATATTTTATTTCTTTATTTTTGTTATTTAATTTGTATTTATGTTAATTTGATTATTATTTATATTAATATTTATAATAATAAATTCATTAAAATTATATAATTTAAAAAATGATGAAAAATTAAAAACAAAACTTTATTCAATACAAATATTAAATTACAATAACTCAAAATAAAAATTAATACTAATTTAAAAACACTAAAATTAAAAGAAAATACAACATAAACTAAAATAATAATTTAATATTCCGGGAGATTAGTTCCGAATCCTCTAAGATCATCAAAATATTGGAAAGAACTAGAGCTTATCAGAGACAAATCAAGGGTAAGGAGGCTCACCATGCTTTTTCAAAATGCATTAATTGATCATTTGGGGAAAGAATCTACTAATTCAGAAAATTAAATTACTATCAATATAGAATTTTATTTTTGTGTTATTGTCTTTTTTTTTTTTTGGTGGCATTTTATATTAGATGTAATGTTTTTGTATATTAAATGTAATGTTTATTTGATTAAATAAATGCTTAATTTTATTAAATCAGCATAATTTTCAAAGTTATTATTATTTAATAAAAAAATCATTCCCAATATTTAATTAATATATACAAAACTAATTACTGAAATAAATTAATTGTTGATTATTAATAGAAAGAAAAAGAAAAAGAATATTTTAAGGAATATTTATTTTAGTGTAATATTTGGTGCAATGTGTTAAAGATGCAATAGTGAAATACACCAAAAGTCACACTAATTTAGTGTGAAAGTTACACCAATTTGGTGTTTGTGGTTGGAGATGGTCTTAGGTATATAGCTCAGCAATAGAAAAAAAGTTAAAGCAGAAGACTGAAAAAACCTACATATTTTCAGGGCTAAGGTTTCAGATGAAGAACATGGACAATATGGATGGATACACCTTCGACAGAGTATTCACAATCCAAATATTGCTGTAAACGTGCAATCAACTGTGCCTGGAGGCTGTCTATCTATTACAAGAGTTCTTAGAGCAAAGTATGCCATATTGCCAAGTTAATATCGTCCATATTTGTTTCAGATAAATGTAAGTTTCATTATACTTATGTTTGTGGTTGTCAAATCTTCTCAGGTTTCTCATGGCAAGTGGAATGGACAAAGTGCTTGACATTTCTCAGATTGACAAGTATGCAAGTAGTAGCTAGTTGCCTGGGCTAGTAAAGATGTGATAGTTCTTCGAAAACTAATGTTGTTTGATCACAATTTCCTCAAAAAAATTCGCAGTTTATTAAGATGCGAATATGAGATGGCCTATTTTGTACAGAGAAATTACACTATTTTCTTCACCCATATAAAAAAAGTATATATAATTTACTTTTTTGACCGTTCAATATGTTACTAAGGCAAAACAAATTTCCTTTTTGATCCATATAAACTCATAATTTACTTTAGTACAATTAACACGGTATCGAATGTCAAGACTACAATGAAAACAGTGAAATGCATGTACCTGTTGAAGAAGAAAATTCAACTAGACATAAGAAAAATTCTAACATATTGGAAGATAAAAACACCTGATACATGTAAACTATCCGATGATACGATTTATAATAAAGCTTCTTATCCCTAGTCAAAATATTAACTCCACTCGAGTGAAACAGCACCAGTATCGTAGATGACTTGTAGATACAGCATCCATATTTGCAGCCATCACTAGAGGCAATCCCAGCATCTATCTGGTGTTTGTCAGACTCGGACCTTGGAATTGCCAGAGCACACCAGAAATCTCACTATCAATTCCCTCTGTCACACCACTGTTGCAACCAATGACAATGTTCACGTGCTCATTACTTGTTTTGCCTTTTTTTTTTTGGTATGGATAGGTTCACAGTCACAATTATCATCTTCAGCACTCCTTTTTAAATTACATTTAGTTAAAGAAGGTTTATCACTCAATGGCACCTCACAAGATTCCGTTGCTTGAGCTTCAACAACAAAAGGTTGTTCATCACCATCACTCAGTATTGATGGGTGACTTCTTGATGAGCATGAAGGCATTGCTCCATCAACTGCCATGGCATCATCACATAGATTATAATCAATCGTTGCATCCTGACAATTCTTATCTGATCGGACAGCATTATCGATAGAGCAAGTGTCCTCAGTGGTAGTTCCATTCACACCATGTAACTCCTCCACTTGATCGTTTTTGATACCACTTGAAGTTTTAGTCATACCAACAACCATGTTTGACTCATTGGGCACAGACAAGGAGGAAGAGGCCTGTTCAGAGGGGGAATTTTCATCTGCTTTGTTAGAGCGAGCTGTTAGCTCAGTGTCATCTTTGAAAGCACCATTCTGATTAGTCACATCACATTGCTCCATGTAGTCAATTGTTGATGGAGGCATTTTAACAGCCAGTCGCTCCTCTTCCATCACACTTTGATGACAATCTTTATTTGAAAGAACTTCAAATCCATTTTGACCAGTGCAAGAAGCATCTTTGGAAGGATTAATGTTAATTGCAGCTTCTGTATTAACGGAAACTCTCTCTTCATTCTTGGAGAAGCAATTACTGGATACAATCTCATCAACAGAAGCTAATCCAGGTGGGGAAATACATATGAGTGATGGGTCAACATCTGCACTCGCACAACAAATTTCTTCTTCAGTAGTCATACCACAAACACTGCTTTCACAGACTACCTGATTAATGAGTCCACTACCCAAATCATTTGCAATACGATCAGGAGCATCTTGTTCATCCACAGAACCCTTCTCATTGTGAGATGATACATCCTCATTCATGCTCCGACTATCATTGATTAATTCTTTATCTTGAACAGCAGAAACCCCCCCTACAGTTTGTTGCTCAATGGTATCCACAGGTTGTTTCTGAATAGTATCTACAATAGTTTGGCGGCTTTCCACATCTACTAGTGCATTTAACTGCTTCTGTACAGAGACTGCTAAAGAAATAGCGTGATCACGAATCAAAGAATCATGGTGTGAACAGTTCAACATCTCAATCAGGGCCTGGTTGTATTGAAACAAACTTATAGAAGGCATAATAGATCCTTTCTTGCGACAGACTCCAATGACTTTTAACATATGCTCGCACAGGTAGCCCATTTCTGCCCAACTACAATTGCAAATACCAAACTGGGAACCGGGGTTCCAAACAACATAAGCTTTATCTCCTTCATGTTCGTCTGTGACTATTGCACATCTACCTTCAATGACAACATTGGAATCTGGAATTTTTAATGCTTTGCGCCACGATGTTAAACCACTCACCCACTCATCTTTCCAATATCGTGCAAAATCATCCTTCCCTGAGTATTCATCCAGCCAGAAGTAAGAATGTACTTTAGTACCCAACCTATCAACCAGCCAATCAGCACGTTGATAAACACAAGGATCCTTCCCATTCAACAACCTTAATTTCAATTGATTGTGGTAAAACTCCATTGTTGCACTAGTCTCCTGGCTGGCAATCGGAAGAGTCTTTAGTGCAGTGATCCAAGTCCCTGAGACAAAAGAACATATATTTGTAAATCTCTTTAGGAAATTAGAAAAGGCTTTGACAGAAAAAATCAATGCACTAAAGATATCAGAGTGAAACTTAATACTCCACATACTTTATCATAAAATTTCATCTCCTTCACAGCACAGATAGCTATTACATCTTGGAAACAATTCTCAAGAAAAGATCATATTTTCCACCCCAAAAGAAGGAAATGTAGAAACATGTCTGTTTATTTTATTGCTTGTAGAGATACAACATGAATTTACAACTTCCAGTAATTCTGAAATCCCATTACAGTGCAAAGAAGATATGGCACACCACTTCAATGGTTTCAAACAACAGTTCAGCAGTGAATGTTGTAAAGTAGAGAGAAGAAAGAAGAATTTTAGAGATTTAATTTTAAGGGACAATTGAAAATGAGACCCACCTATCCTGGGATACCAAACTGCCTTGAAGTAATCCATAAAATCTGAGGCATCCATGAAGTCTTCCATGCAATACTCAAACGCATCCACAGTTCCATGTCCTTTACAGATGCCATCCACAGCCTGTCCAAGCCGCTTCAAAATCTCAGCACGCATCTCTGTTTCTGAGCATCTCTTCACTAAGTTCTTATGCCATGCATGGCGGACCCGCCAGAAAGAAATCAACACAGAGCACTGAAAAACATCCCTGAGTAAAATGATGAAACCTCAGTTCATATTTTTATTAACAAAACAGAGAGGATGTTGTTGCCCCTCATCATTTGATAAAGGCCCACATAACTACCAACATACTGTCCAAGGCCAACTCTTGGTTCATGTTAAGAACCAGAAAGAAATCACAACCTTTGAACTTGATCTTATTTACATGGTTCCAAAATCGTGTTATTAAAAATTACAGAACAAATAGGCATACACATGAAAATTTGAATTAATAAACATTGAACCTAATGTTGTAGCTGGTGAGTATGAAGAAAACTAATGGCGTGAAATTGAGGTTTCATACCTTACTAGATGTATATAAATTAATATAAATAATCATGCAAGCTTTTCCTAGTTCACCGTCTAGTTATAGTCCATCAGAAATTTTCTCATGAAAAACCAAAGGTAACTATAAAACATACAACAACCTTAATTGATTTCAACAAAGACTAACCTGATTGTAGGGACATCGGCTGATGGATCATCAACTATAAACCCAGCCAGCTTCCAAGTAGGATCTTTTGTGCAAACTCTATTGTAAAGAGCCCTCATCCATCTGTGTGCATCAGCACTAGAAAATCTTGGGGCTATTACCCAGGCTACTGGGATGGCCTTGTTGTCGGAGTTGAACACGATGAGACTGTGTAAAGGATACTACATTTATAATTGCAGAGAACAACAGAATTAGCTTCCGAGTTATTTGAAGGTCCTCAAGGGACTGACAACAACAATTAACACAATTAGATCATCATCTAATTCAAAAATGACACACCTTCAATTTGTTTGTTCCAAACCTTGAATCAGAAGCCACAAGGCTACGGTTGCCAAATCGAATCATCTGCTGTAACTGCCACTCTGTTTGAATGCCCAATGTGAAAGGTTCATAGTCAGAAAAATCCTCATAGAAGAAAACATGACTCTGGTGGCTTTCAACCCACATTCTGATGCTGCTTGCATCATCTGGGTCTAGTTCATATGTAGAACGCCGGATGCTCCTCTCCTGTCTTCGAACATACCTGTGGGTTAAGAGGTCATCACGATTACAAGGACCACCCTGTTTCTCCACTGATTCATTGTGTCTCTGCATTATTGTCTCCACAGAGACCCCAACATATAGTAATGATAACACACGAAGTCGGAGATCTTCTGATATGTATGGGGCAAACATCGCACGAGTTCCAGCAGCCTTCTTGTCTTGTGGGCCATGACATGGCGATCCATTCTTATCTACATGCTTATCATCATTATATATGATAAGTGCTACAGACGGTTCAGCAATTAAACGCTTAACAATGAAGTGGCACGTGCACCCTCTCTTAGTATTAGGCCGTCCAGCATTTTTATTCTTTGGAATGTATGTATTCCTACTAGGTCGGACAATGCCACCCTTCCTATGGTCATCAGGTCCAAAGGAACACCAATACCTACAGTTTCAATAAGATCACTTAAATTCGCAAGACAAAGGCAACAAAGTAGTAATTTTTATAAGAAAATTAGTTGAACTTACAAAATATATTCAAGAATTCCATCAACCTTGGGTTTGTAGGATGCATTTGTTGAACGCCGCCGCCTTGCTTCAACATGAAATCTTGTTGGACAATCTTTGTTGGCAGATTCACCCCTCACAAAATCATCCACTCTAGCAAATGGGATAAGAGCAACTCTATCTAATTTGTCGCGCCAACCTTCCACCTTTGACCAAACAATATCAACAGCGGAAAACTCTAAGGTTGGAGGACTCTGCACAGGAAGGGACAAAATTTCATCCCATCTTGCCATCTGCATGGACACTACAGATTTTAGGAAAAGTTTTATTCAGAATTGAATTTATTCCATGTGTTGGTAAATTTAAAGGGAACACAAAAATGAAATTCCCAAACTTTACGCGCATATAAAGGCAATAGGATTTAGGAAGCATCAAGTTGCCGCGATTCTGATTAAAATAGAAACAAAAGGAAGAATTTCCTAGAGCTACAGTTAGAGCTTGTGATAGGTTCAGCTTTCATAATCTTTAATTAGGTTCAATTGAATAAATTCAGCTATGATTGGAAAGTTCACATAGGAACAATATTAATAAAAATCAAAATTCAAGTAAACAAAACCAGAATTTGTTTATTAAGAAACTGAAAGAAATACAAGAAACTAAAATCTCTGTTTTCAGACCAGAAAGAAAAGCTTAAATAATCCAATACCACTTCACTATCATAAAAAATATATAGTATTTTCTTATAATTTTCAACTAGTTTTTCCTGCACTTTCTCACCAACCAAACAAAGCTTCAATGCCAAAAAAAAAAAAAAACTGAAACCTAATATTATCCAACTAAAAAACAGAGAGACATGACTTCACAACAAATAGGTTACACCAAAATCAGTTGTAATTATAAAAATTTATTCATCGAGATAAATGAATTAGGGGAAAAAATTACACGAAAAATAGAGACAACAATATGAACCTCAAGAAAAAGTGATTCCCAAAAAAAAAAAAAAAAAAAAAACATAAAGCTTGAGAAACGAGTCTTCGCGAACCTGAAACGAGGCAGAGAAGAAGAAAGATAGTTGCTTGTAATGGTGAAGAAAATGCTTCAAGAGTGGTTTGATGTCAGGGAAGGCAGAAGAAGATGGTGGCTACTTGAGAGTACGAACAGTAGGCGAATTTGTGTGAAGGGGTTAAATGAAAGAAAATGAAATATTAAAGGATGGGTTTACTTAAAATCAGGGAGACAAACAATTACACCCCTGTAGTTTGGGAACAAAATGTGGTTGAAACAATGCCCATTTAAATTAACTTACACCATTCGTGTTTAGAAAATATTCAAACACCTCCCAAAATTTAACGCCGTCTAATTTGAAAGTAATGGCAAACACTGAATTATTTGAAAGACTATTTTGCCCCTTTTTGTCTTTAACTGATACCAAAGTTTAAAGAAATTTCCTAAAAATCCCTTTAAATTTTCCCTAAATACATTTAAACCATCTTGTTAATATAATTTAACAGTCGACTCCCTCCCGTTCAAAAGAACCGATTGGAACCGGAACCGGCGGGTACCCGGGGTTTGGTTTCGGTTCCTACCCAGAACCGGCCGTCAACAGGTAGGTTCTGGTTCTAAATTTTTGGAACTGTGCGGTTTCGGTTCTTATAGTTAGGAATCGGAACCGGGAACCGAGACTAATATAAAATAAAATTAAAGAGTAGAGAGGTTAATAAAAACTTTTGTAGAAAAAATAACGTGAATACATTTATATTTATATTTTGTAACATTTAAAGTAAGTTTGTTTGACTTTTGAGAATCTACCTTTACAAAGTAATGGAGTTTGTAATTTTGAATTTTGAATTTATAATTTGTAATTTTATTTTTGTTAACAAGTGCCAGGGGGGTATTTGTAAGTTTTAAATAGTTTTTTTACCATTTTAAAAACTTTTGGGGGTTTGTAATTTTATAAGTTACTCAGAACCGGAATCGAAACCATTGTTATAGGTTCCGGTTCTGGGTACCTCGGAACCGGAACCGGAACCGTCGGTTCTAAATTTCAAGGAATCGTTAGTTCTGGTTTATTCAAAAAATGCAAAGTACCCATAACCGAACACCTCTACTCCCCTCCCCTCCTGACATTCCACCCCAACGCATGGCATAGCCTCTTCCTTCACTACCAGCCCACCACTCTTTTTCTACTGTCTCTCTCATGATTATCTCTTTCTATTTATCAAATTAAAGAATTCGCAGCACATTAAAGAAAAAATTTGGTGAAAAGACAATTTTGTCCCCTTCTTTGTCAAATGAGCTTAGACGTCGTTTTAGATCACGGAGATGTTTGATTATTTTTTAAAATCTTGCGGGGTAAGTTGTTTTTGATTTAAAACATTTGCTAATTTAAAATACCTCTTTGTTTGGAAATCTATCAAGTACCCCTCAGGCTGTCAAGAATGGTTGATAGTATTTTAACATTTGACTGTTTCTGATAATGGAATGTCTAAATTACCCTTCAAATTTGAACTAATGAATTGACATCTAATATTATTAAAATTATTTAATAGGATGTTACACAAAATTTAAAAATAAACAGATTTTTTTTTCTTGTTAATTTAATACTGAATAATAAAAATTTAGTCAGATTTTCTCTTATTTAAAACTGTAAAATTTGATTATTTAGTGTCCCCTTGAATCATGTAACAGGTGATACAGTGCATATATCATCTCTTACATAAAAATCCTCAAACAATAGAAGATGTTTTTAGAACTACACTAAATATATGTTATAGATAAAGGTCACCCAGATTAGCCTAAATAATTACTTTACAAGAAATTTCACAAAGTTTATACTAAAGTTATATAGTTTTCTTGCGTTTACAGCATCTCCAATGATGTTCTTTATTTTTAAGAACATTTTTCATATAAATAAAGAGCGTCTTTATTAATTTTAAAATATAAAAAACACAATTTTTATTCAAATCCAATACTCTTTATTTTTAAGAAAGAGACTTAATGAGAGAGAGAATTAATAAATAAAATACATATGAACTTGTAGTTTATTAATTAAAATTAGGATAGAGAGTGAAATTTGACTCTTTAAATGTGGAGAGCCAAACTTACTCTCTAATTTATATTTTAAATATAAAAAGTCTGTTGCACTCTTATTTTTATGGATAAACTCTTTATAATAAAGAGTTTGAGTCATATAAAGAGTCATTTGGAGATGCTCTTACTATTAGTAGACCTGGCAAAACGGGCGGGTGGGCCGGGTGCGGGTTGGGTCCAAGCGGGTACGGGTCAAACGGGTACGGGCCCAATACGGGTCGAGGTATACGGGTCCAATATTTTGGACCCGTACCCTACCCTATACGGGTACGGGTGGACCCGCGGGTACCCCTTTTTTCTCTCTCCAGGTTTTAGTTTTTACAATTTCACTCTTAACAGTTTTTAATTATAATAGTTACACCCCCAAAATTCTTACAATTTTAATTAAGTATACATTTTTTTGGTAACTATAACATTGTTGATTCATTTGAGATCGTTAATTTCATGTAAATCTCATCCAGTTATAAAATTTTAGAACTCTTTGGTTTACAAGGTGCAATACCAGTTACTCTGATAACAAGTAGGTTTCCAATTTAAATAATCACCAATTACTCTGCAAGAAGAACATTTCAACAAATTTGATATAAAATAATATCTGACACAGTTCAACCCAAGGTTTATTGTTGATTCAAGTAGAACTTCAACAATTAAAAGAAAGAAAGCATAACATTTTATTGATTGAGCAAATCAGCAAAATTACTACCGAATGAAATGTTTAACTTATGGACTAATGCCAAAAGTAGAGCATGATATCGCAACCATGAACTAGTAAATGATGAAATTAGAATAATGTTAAAAACAAGGAAAGGCTGATCATAGATAGAGCTAAAGCGGAGGAAAATAGAGCCACCACCGAGCTTGGAACCAGACATCTCCTTTTTGACAAATAGAAAATAGTCATACTGGTTTTGTCTCTAATAACTGTCTTCAGAAAAATAATACTACACAAATATCCAAGTATGTGCTTAGTGATGCACACATAAACTGTAGAATATTTCTAATCATAACGGGAAAACATTCAACATGTACTAATGTAATGCTCTAATTTCAAAATCTCTCCATCCTAGTTAACTGAATTTTTGACAAAAAAATTAATTAACATAGATGGTAGAGATCTGAATCGAGGGTTTCTGGAAACAAGAAAAGCTGAAAACATACCGACAGACCAGAAGCACACAGGATTAGCAACAATGTATAAAGAACCATCTCCCATCAAAACAAAATGTCTCCAGTTAGGATAAAGAACAAAATTTAGATAATATCATTTAAATTTCAGACTCTTCTGCGTCCTGCTGTTGCCGTATTTGCGAGCAATTTGACTCTAGCTTTTAAGAGTCTAGCTGCTACTTCTTTAAGTTGATCCTCTCCTTAGGTGCCTCTCTTGTACACTCCAAAGCTAAATTCAAAATAGATGACATTGTTCCTTTCCTGCAAAATTTTTATCCTCCCTTGTTAGCAAATTGGTGTCCAAAACTTCTGTTATTGAACCAGGTAGTGCTTTGGTAACCCAATGCTTCAGCTTCATCTCCCTAGAAAAGATTTCCTCGGTTGGCTTCTTCCCAAGAAATGTTTCCATCAGCATAATACCATAGCTGTAATGTTGTGTTGATTTGTTGAAGATTGAGAGGCGAGAGGGAGAGAGATGAGAGGCAGAGCAGAGGCGGCCAGGCGCGAGAGAGATGAGTTAGGGCAAGTCAATGGGTCACGTTTTGGTTTTTACCATTTGCAAAAAAGGGTACCCGCGGGTGTCCGCGGGTTCACCCCAATAACCCGTCAGATATACGGGTTGGGCCGGGTACGGGTCCATAAAAACGGGTTCAATTTATTAGACCCGTATCCTATATTTGTTTCCCGGGTACGGGCCGACCCGCGGGTCGGGACCCATTTTGCCAGGTCTAACTGCAACTATATCATTTTTTGTTAGTCCGGGCTGAACCCACTAACAGTTGGAGAATTTGCACTTGCAGAATCGCTGATGAAGAAGTTGACCATCCCGAGCGCGAGTGAATCTATCGCCCGGCGCCGAGAGAAGAGGAGGAGGGAGTCCTTGGCCAGGGAGGATAGGAGGGCAAAGGATGTGTTGGTGACACCGCCGAGTCAGCAACTGCTGAGTCAGCAACCTGCCACAGGGGCTGGGTCGTCCCACGCTGCAGTTGTGGATGAGGAGTCCAGGACGATTACATTCACGATTCTGGCTACTGCATCGACTTATTCCGATGCGACTTCTATGAGCAAGCTGGCCAACTCTTTCTTGTTTCTGGCAGATGAGGCGCGTCTGAATCAGATGGGAGCAGTTGCTGCTGCTGATTGGGGGGTATCCCGCGCCGTTTAGGTATGACAGTATTACTTTGGTGTTCTCGTTTTGAATTTTGTTCTGGTGGCAATGTTTTGTTATGCAGGTGCTTACTAGCAGTCTTCATCTGAGGAAATCCATTGTGGCGCAGGAGAAACGGATACAGGATGTGTCCAAGGCCAATACTAGCTTGCGCCAGAGGGAGGCAGCGTCCCGAAAGGCTGAGCAGGAGAGTCAGCAGCGCCTCAGGGATAGTGAGCATGAGGTCGAGAGATTGAGGTGTGAGTTGGCCGAGAGAACCACAGAGGTAAAATAAAAAATAAAAAAAGTTACATAAAAAAAAAGTAATATTACAAAGAAACCTAGTATTATTATTACTTTTTTTTTTTTTTTTGGCAATCGAGAATAGTCGAATCAGTTTACGCGTATCTCAACTAATTTTTTATAGCTTAAAATTGTAATCGAGTCAATCCCCTCAATATCCACCCCTATTAACAACCCAAATGGATTAAACTAAGAATCTCTTGAATAATACATCAAAAAGTCCTAATNGAAGTTCATGAATAAATGCATATTGTTTGCTAGCAGAAGCATGCATGCAAGACACTCCGCACATAAATGAAAATACATCTTATTTAGTACCAGAAGCCAAACTCCGTATTTGAGACATCGATCGATCCAAGCATGCTGCAAACTAACTTGCATGCATGCATGCATTTATTTGTTGCAGCA